AACAGGCAGACTGACTGTGGTACACTGTTGAGAGGAGCAGTAGGTGAGCAAGAGAGGTCTGCTGCACCTTGAGTGTTAGTGCCAAGGCACTGGCATTCAACTAGTGCTACAGTGGCTGCTCATAGCTCCATGGTGCTGAGACTTAACGCCTTGCACCACCAGGGAGAGCCCTTTAGAGGGAGTCTTTGAATTGGGTTTTCTCCATTTGACATTCACTCAAGAAATAAGATCTTAACACCTGCTACATGCCAAAAATTATTCTAGGTGTGGGAGATTAAACACTGTGGCACCATTATCACTGCGACAATCTTCCACCTCTGAAGCACTGCTTAACCTACTGAATCGCCTTCTGGTGTGTTGCATCAGAATGGAAGAGGCATCCCTATGAACTGGTCATCCTTCAGAGCTGGTGTCAAGGACTCTGCTCTTCATGTAACACAATGTTCTCTTTATGAGCATCCCTGGGAGACAGTCCAATCTGATCTTAGTTCCATAAATAGTTTTACTTCTCCAGAGTAATAGGTTTGTTTTTATCTACAGACACAGTGAATTGCAGGGCAAATGAGACTGTGGGCATAGACACAAATTCATGGCCCAACTGTCATGAATGTGACGGTCATTCCCACAATGCATTTTTAGCTTTGTCCCTAACCAAGTCTTTATTTCTTTAGTCACTACCCTTTTAATTTACAGCATCTTGGGTATGCCTTTTGGGTTTTCTTGTATCCTTGGAAATGGCTATAAATATTTTCTAGAAGGGGACTTCATCATCAATGTTTAGAATGGATTATACATATTTACATAAATGCTATGGAGGTGTCCACAGAAGGAAGTGGGAACACATAAGAGCTTACAAATCAATGAAGAGCACTTGAGAAGACCTTGGAAAGGGTCATTGCTTCAGTTGAGTTTTTCTTTTGTTGAGGTTGTTATAGAATTTATTTAAAATGTGACAACTGTTAAACAAAATTAAATTGTTGCCAACTTCAAGAAGAGATTTTTTAAAATCTTGCAGAGGGAATTTTTGTTAGATCATTGCTTTATGAGACACCACAAGAATTATTTACAACAAATTGAGGCTATTTCTTTAACAGTTTCTGGCAAACTATGTGGCAAAACAATTCAAATCCACATCAGAATTTAATTTATGTGCAGAAAATGAAATTCAGATGGAATGTCAAACCTAAGTTAAAAGATATTTTATATCAAATTGAGATTTAAAAAGTCAAATTAGGGGCCCTCCCTGGTGGTTTAATGGCTTAAAGCACAGCACTATGAAGCTATTACAGTCACTACTGCAAGAGTTCAATCCCTAGCCAGGGAGGTGACCCACATGGTATGGCAGACTTCTCCTGACACATTCGCTGCTCCCTTCAGCAGTGTATTTCAGTACATCAGCCTGTTGTGCTCCCCACTCTGTCTCTGGTGAATCCTCTCACCCCTCACACCGCTGGCCTGTACCCCAGTTCTGTATACATAAACACAAATCTTTAAAAAAAAAAATAAAAGTCAAATTACCTAGAAGATAAATGTAAACAAAATATTATCTACTGTATTATTCAAATAAACTGAGGATAAATCAGATTTAGAAGTTTAAATATACAGATGAAGAGTCTCAGACTTGGAAGGGCTACAAAATGATCTGCTTACAAAATTTATAGGAAAAAAATCATTTGGTCAGTGGCATACTTGTTGGAACAGTACTCTTCCTTAATTCTTCACTGTACCTTGCAGGTAGAACCCTGGCATTCAAAGTTCCCTGGATTGTGTGGTAGCTGTGTGAGAGAAGGGCTTTAAGTATAAAGGGAAAAGATGTCAAATAGAACACATGCAGTTTTTATTTCTTATAAGGCAACTAAGAATCGCCTAGTTTTCTTGTGAGGGTCACAAGCTATTGTTTTACAGTTTGAATTAGGAGGGAACTTAATATTCATTTAAGTTTGATTTTTAAAATAAGCACTACATTCAAATAGGTTAAATATGATAAAATTACAAATTTTCAAATACAAATTTATTTACAAAATACTCCAAAATTCAAAAGCATATTTTGCAATATCTCCCTCCCATCTGCCTCTACCCAGCATCTAGTTCTCACCAGAGGCAACCATATCATAGAATTTATGTAAACTTCTAAAATGTTCTATGCACTCACAAGCAAATAACTAGTTTACTTTTTATAACCAACTTTTATGCCCCTTAATCTTTACCCTGAAATAATTACAGTACTTGGTAAAGATGCAGATTTTAAAAGTATTTTCAATATCTTATTTCAATTTTGTGTTAGTCTTCTCAAAATGGTGTTATTTTATCTTTCTCAAAGTGGGAATATAAGTTGGGTTCCTGAGACAAAAAGAAGCACTCAACATGGGAATATTTAGCAAACATTAGATATAGTCATATTTATTAGAAAAAATTAAAGTGACTTGATATATACCATGCTGATTATTATTTCATATATTTAACCAATGTTATTTTCACAAATGCAGTTCATGTCTTGATGAAGTAGGGGCTGCAGGATCACAATATCCACAATCACAGGAACAATATTAATTTGGCTATCATTTGTTGTTCACTGTTAATTGTTCATGTTTTTATACTTGCTGGTAAATAAGACTCCCCTCTCCTCAGCACCCCAATACCCTGCCTTTATTAGCATTTATCACGCAACTCCTTCTTTTGTATAGTGAGCTCCATGACGGCAGAGAACAGCCTTACATGATTTTTATAGTATCAAGACCTAGTAACCTGCCTGGCAGTATTAGACTTTTAGTAAGTGTTGATTACAAGAAAAAAATTTGTACCAGAGGTGATATTTGAGGTGGTATCTACGAAAAGCTAAGTGTCAGCCAGAAAAAAGTAGAGGTGGAAAAGTGTGTTTGGGAAATTGCAGACAGCCAGTAAAACTGGATAGCACAGTTGAAATAAAATAAACAAGGCATGGGGAATTTTACCATCATGGCCAGATATACCAAAAGATGTTCCTTGACTCGTTCTGAAGCCTCACCTCCTGCTTCTCCAGCTCTCTTAGCTCTGGACCTATCATATTACTCGGAATTTCCTTAAAAAAAAAAAAGTCATATGCTTCCACACCTTTACCTTCTTTTGTATTTCTTTCTGGGAACGCCCACCTCCTGAATTAAAAACTCTGCTCAAGTGCCACTGTCTCCTAACTGTCCTCGTTCCATCAGACTGAGTCTCCCCTGCTGACTTCTATCTTATCCCTTATATATAGTGTATTGACCTCTGGCTTACCGCGTGAATCTATGCCATATGAGCCGGGCCTTTTCAACTTTGCATTTCCAACTACCTTGGTAACAGATACTCTCATGTTTGTTGTGTTACTGAATAAGAAAGACAGTTTCCCATAGTGCCCGCCTGAACAACTGAAAGTCCAATGTCTCACTTTGCAGATGATAGATTGATTCACAGGCTGGTGAAACCTAAAAGTGGGGTCAAATGATTAAAACAATTTGTTAATCTCTCGGTACTACTCTGGCTAGCCAAATCAGTTGAAAGTCTGGGCACAGAATCCAAGGTTGCACCAACGCATTCCAAATGCGTCCCTGTTCAGCATTACCCTAAATCCAATGTGTAGGAGACGGCAAGGCCCACACAGATAACATGTGTCAAGGGGCCCGCACTTGCACAAAGGGATCTTAGAGCGTTGCAGTTTGGACACTTTTAAGGCCAAGGATTGCACGAGAAAAGGAGCAAGAGCCAAGGTCTGTGAGCTTGTTGTCGAGCCAGGCCTGTCTTGCTCAGCATTTCTTGCTCGCAGGTTCCCATAACCTTAAGATTAAGGAACCAGGCAAAAGAAGTTTCCCGGCCGGGAGGAGGCACGCAAGGCTTTGTTCAGAGTTGCTCCTATTCAGGGCTCCACACCTTACAGCCTGAGGCCCCCTTCCCGAGGCCTCTCCATCTGTGCCGCTGCTGAAGGCAGCAGCCACCCCACTTTTCCCGTGGAACCCCGACTTGGCCGGAAGTGCAGCACTCCCAGGCAATCTCCGCCCCAGCCAGGAGACCTCCCCTAGGCCAACGAGTAAAGCAAGACTCCAGAAAGTTCCACGAGCCCCGGGAACCCGTGCTCGTGCCCACCCCCACAGGGCCATTCGTCTCAACCCTTTCCTGCCCGTGCGCCCCCGCGCCGTTGTCCAGGTAACCGCGGGGCGGTGGCAGCTGTGGGTAGGGAGGGACTTCCGGCGGGTGACGCGCCTGAGCTCGGCTACAAAAGACGACGGCTGCGGCGCGCCGGGCGGAACTTTCCAGAACACTCGGTGAGAAGTGGAGGAGCGGCGGCTGCCCGGGCTGCGCACAGCAACGCGCTCCTTCCCGCTCCCCCATACCGGCCTCGGCCCGCTCACCGGTGAGTTGCAGCCCTCGCGCTTCCCCTCCTCCTGAGGTCGGTGCCATTGGTGGCGCCGGAAAGCCGGATGGAGCCGCGGTCTGGAGGCGGTTGGCTCCCGCGTGGGCGGGAGGGTTGTGGGTTCCTGTTTCCAGGGTCCCTTTCAGCGTGCCGCTGTGGTGCCTCGACCACCCAGCTCACTCTC